AATTAACTCTATCCCAGCCAAAACCAGGACAGACTGAAATTATGGACAGTTTTTTAAAAGGTGCTGTGCTAACAGTAAAATCTGGTGACTTTCCAACAATGGAGAAGGGTGTTAGTTCTGAGACTTATATAGGATCAGACCTAATTAGATAGGTGTTCAGCTTTTCTGGAAATCTTCTGTATGGGAAGAAAGTAATTCTGCATTTTTGTTTTGCTTTGTAGATAAAGAGTTTGAGAAATGGAATTATTCATGGTATTGTTTAAAGGAAATTATTTCAAAGCAAGTGTATGAAGTATATCGTCTTCAGCATATAGGAATTGTGTACTTATAAAACAGATAGGTGTAAATCATATATTTTTCAACACTGATTAAAAATATCTGATCTTGGAGATGAAAGCATGCTACACTATTTTCTTTGCCTGATGGTATATCTGAAACAGTAAAAATGTTGATTGTTTAAAAATAAAAAGAAATATTATAAAGCTAAAGAAGGTACTTAGAAAAGGAATTGCAGTTGCTATACATGTTCTTATTTTACTGTATTAAATACTTAATAATGAACAACTTTATGCAGTTAAGCTATTAACTAGAGATGGGTGAATTGTAACTCCTGACTGCTATCAGTTTTGAAGTATTTGAAATACTTGTTGAAAGCATACTGAAGGAATGAACTGCACTAATCACACCATTATGAAATAAAATATTTTATGCCGGTATTTCTTTGTGTTTCCTCAAAATGTCATATTTCTCCATATCAGCCTTCCAGGAAGGGAAAAAGCTGGAAGAAAAAGCCTGGGGAATGTTGTTAGGGCTTTTTTTTCCTGTGAGGGATGAGGAACTTGTACATCTTTCCAGTATCTGCTAATTTAAAAAACAAATTAAAATACTCTTTCTCTGTACGGTAGCATGATATCTGACAGTCAGTCTGTTGTGTACTACATCACTAGCTGAACCTTAATTCTTCCTCTTTGGCAATAGTAGAATCTGTGGGTGGGATGTAGATCTAGATTCTCCACACTGGCTCCCCTCTCAATATACTGAATGATCCCTATCAGAGAGCTACCTACTTTTTTGGTATGGTTTGGGGTTTTTAACATAGCAGATATTTAGTTTGCAAGCATATGTGAAAAGGCTTACATGCACAGAGCAGTTGCCAGTGATGGAGATGATGTGGCCTGACTGCTTTGCAAAGCTAACCAGTGAACTTGCAGTGCTGGTTTTTGACTCAAGAACAGCATCAAGTTTCTGATCCGTCACCAGCAATGGTGTGGAAGATATCCAGGTGGGGGAAAAAACAGTTGATGGAAAACTGATTGACAGTTCTTCAGAGAAGCATTCTTAAAGGGAGGTATACACTAAGGTGGATAACTTGGTCTGAAATATATTTGCCATTAATAATCCAAGTCAGCTGTAGAACATGCAAGCTTTCGTTAAAGTTACTGAAACACATAGCATTTCAAATTGACATCTAGATAGTAATCATTTTCTTAGTATTTAATCCTTCATTTTTATTCTGTAGACATCATTGCACTTGTGTGAATAAGTACAGTTCTTTCAAAACAATAACATAATCAGCAATTTAAATATTATATAGAAATATATTTAACTGCCTTTTTTCTTTTCTTTTTTTTTTTTTTGTTTTTTTGTTTTGCTATAGGGCAGGTTATACCAGAAAGAAGATTTGTAGAAGCAATAAATCGTCAAGCATATCAGTATGAAATGGGTGACTTTCCAACAGAATGGGAAGGTAAATCCTGGATATTTTTATTTTATTTCAAGATAATTTTGCCATTGAATGTCAATCCAGTATTTTTAATGGAAAGCGTGACTATGTGAATAGGTTGCCTGTTATCTTTCATTTTGAGTAATGCAGGCTTTTGTTTAAATGCATAGTTATTATGAATTCTTAAAGTAGCCCCTTTATAAATAGGATAAATTAAGTTTAGGAAATCAGTACTTAATAAAAATGTAAATAAAGCCTGTATGACTTTCTTTTATTAAATGTGAAAACATTTGTGCCTGAGGGGGATCTGATAGAATAACCAAAACTAAATGTGTTAAACTTCCTAATTATACCTTCACTGTAGTGTTAATTTGTAGGTCAGTTGAATTATTGGTGTCACAGTGATGGGGCTTTTTTTTTTTTTCTGGTGGTGTTTGGTTTCCTATACTCTTCCTTGCACAATCCTGTAGGGAGTTGGAGAATCTGTTGGTAATTAACCATTTTTCCTACTGCTACTGATGAAAACTTTGTCTGAAAATTTGGGACTTAGATAGAAACTCAGGGAGGTTAGAGATGTTCCTCAGGTTTAGCTGAGCAGCCCTTGGAAAAAGTGAGAATCATAGAATGCGTTGGGTTGGAAGGGACCTTTAGAGGTCATCTAGCCCAACCCCCCTGCAGTGAGCAGGGACAGCTTTCATCAGATCAGGTTGCTCAGAGCCCCGTCCAACCTGACCTGGAATGTCGCCAGGGATGGGGCCTCTACCACCTCTCTGGGCAACCTGTTCCCAGAGAGGGAGCAGAGAGGGAGTGTATGTTGGTCCTTGAGGCTGTAGGAGCTCGAGTCAAGAGAGGGGTTATATGTGGCTTAAAATCCAGTACTGTATAGCATAAGCAAGGAACACCTGAAATAGTAGATAGAGTCTATGTATCATTCAGCATGCTTTTTGGGAAGAATAATATCTACGCATCTCCCAGAGGTTGGTAGGTTTAAAGGAAACAAATTTTAAGCGATATGTAGTTAAACTGTGGAATTCCTGGTCATTGAATATTCTGCTTGCTGGAAGTTTGCATGAGTTCAGAAATTGATCAAAAGTATTTGTGGAAGAAAAATCCATCAGGTACACAGACGTTACTGTGGTTTAATTTGTCAGTGAGCTGCAAACTAATGGAGGCTGTAGTGTGTTTTGAGGAAATACCACAGTATACTTGCTTTACCTCATTCTCTTTCCTTTGTGCTCACTGTTGGCCCCTGAGGGAGATGATACTGAGCTAAGAGAAAACTTGGGTCCCATTATATCCCTTTATGGAGCCAGTACAGAAATATCAAATACAGGAATATCATCTTGCATTTCATCATTGTCATTACACTGATTCCTATGAATTTTTTTGTGATCAACTAGGGCTCGTATTAACAGCTAAAAGCTTCTCAAAGGTTTTTCAACCCTATTAGCAGCATTTGCCAACTGTCATGAGACCATGATATCAACAGCTTCTGTCTTCTGCCGCCACAGTGTGCACGGTTGGCTGGCAAGTCTCAATCTAGTTGCTCCTGGTTCTTTATTAGTCCAAGATAGCCATCTTCTGAAGGAGAACAGAAGCCTGGTAGGCTTGGCCTTACTAAATCATCTGGTGCTTGAATGGGTATCTACTTAATCCAACTTTCTGAAGGTCTACTTCCACATCCAAAAGTTCTCCAGCTACCGCTGGTCATCTTACGTCTGTGTGACTGTCATGCAATCACTCTGCACCACAAATGCTGAGAAGCATGTATAAAGCCTCAGGTAACTCTGCTCTGCTGTGAATGGATTCTCATCTAAGACCTGCTGCTGCCTTTTAAGATAAAAATGCAATCTAATAGTCTGTACCTGGACTTGGCTGGAAGTAACGGGAAACAACGTGGACAGTCAGACTGTCTCAGATGGGTGTGGGCTAATCACCCTTTCACAAAGGGTCTTAGGCTGGTTCAACCAACATACTGTATGAACCTGTTCCTTGGGACTGTTGGAACTGGTGTAGCGCTAATAAGCCTGGACTGATCTCCAGAAACCTTAGCACAAATCCATGTGACTTGACGGTGTGGTGCATAGGAGGGTACAGCGGTTTGGAAGGATGCTTTTGGCAAGCACCAGTACAAGACCCTTGGAGTCAAGGGTCAGGTACCCTGCCGTATGGACTTGCCTAAAAAGATGCAGCTGCCAGACCTGAGATGCACTTTTGCAAGTCAAGGCATGTTATTCAGGTTTGTTTTAAAGAAGAAAAGACAATTGGCCAGTCGCATTTTTATGAGCTGCATTTATGCTTTTAATGCTTAACTTCCTCATCTTTGTAACTGCAGGTTTTTTCTTTGTGATTTTGTCAGCACCAAATAGAAACAATTCACAGAGAAAAGGAAAATTTACGGTATGTTGATAGGTAACACTCTTTTCCTCTTAAATACTGAATTTCTCTAGAAACGGAAAGAAAAGATATGTGCATCTTTTTTTCCCCTGTGCATTCTTTAAGCAGAATGGGTGTGTAGTGTATGTTTCTGACAGATGAAGTATGGGAATTCCACAAAAAGGGCTTACCTGTATTTTTTTGTCCAATGCCAATTTAAGCATTACAGCAGTTTTGTGGAAGAATAACATAATTTTAAAAAGTCAAAACTGGTACTTCTGCTTTGGGTGTAAAGGCTGTTGAGAGAACTGTTGTGCCTTTGCTATATATTGGGGTGTGAATTAGGGATGTGGGATGCTCGAATGTCAGTTCATCACTACTGCTTTTCTGCCTCCTGTAAAATGAAAAATTCTCAATGAGTAAGAAATGGGAAAGAATGGAAAGAGTAGAGAGTTCAAATAATACTGTAGAAGCCAGTTATCTGAGTGGGAGCGGTTTAATACAAGGTTTTTAGACACACTTTGCTGAAAGGCTCATTACAATTCTGTCCCTATTTTTTCCTCTTTGAGATTGGTCTAGAAGTTTACCAGGCCCACAAGACCTGTGCTGAACTTTCACTCTGCATCTTCTGTCCAGACTCTTGAAGATTTCCCAATGCATTCTTTCTGTGGGTGTTCACTTTATAATTCTTGCTGTTGTGGATGCTGATCATTCCAGCAAATACTCTGAGACTTTGCAGAAGGATTTCTAAAATATTTGCTGTTTTCTCTGAACAGTAAAAGATTAGTATAAGGTTAGAAGGCTGTATAATATCTCTTACTTCTGTTTACTCTTGGAAATTTTTTTTTATTTTTAGTGTTCTAAATCCTCTCTGCTGGGCACATGCTTACTTCTCCAGGGGCCTTCTCTCCAAATCCTGTGTAGGCACTTTGACATCTGTGGCCTCTCCGCTTCAGTTTCAGCTGGTTCAGCAATAGCAAGCAGTCTCCTTGCCTAGCCCTCTCAGGCTTTTTGCTTTAAGGAGTGTGCTAAAGTTTCTATTGCCTTATTTCCTCTCCTTTTTCTTGGGATCTGCAGAGAGCTGCTTTCACCTGTGCTGTCTTTGTTCTGCCAGGACTCAGTTTATTCGCTTGTGGATAATCCTTAATGGCCACCTGATTTAAAAGCAGTCATCCCAGCACCCTTTCCCTCTCCTTGTTTCCCT